ATATTGAGAAGAAGAGATGATAACATGACAAAAATAAGGAAGACATATGAGGAAAGTTTCTAGATATGAAATGCAAGTGGGTGTCTTTATGAAATGTCAGACTTTTAGTAAATGCACTAATTAAATGAATCAAATTACTTCTAACATAACAGAGTGGTATAATCTAAAATTTGATAAGATCTTCTGAATAGCTGTGGATGTGAACTGCTATTAGATGTGCAGATATTTGTAATTATATTGGGGGAAATGCTTCAGTTATCTAGGAAATATTTCAATTCTCTTATTTAGAAACAGAAATGGAACTTTCTAGAGATTTCACACACACAGGCAGATATTATCTACACACACAAACATTAATATGCAATATATCTGTCCAAATTTATTTGCTACAAACCTTTTTTTGAAATAGAAGATATTAGAAACAAGCTACCCAATAGTAGAGAAAACTGCAATATTCCATGAAAAATAAAATGACAAAAACCTTGTTTATTCTGGTGTTCCACATGCTCCAACAAATTTATTTATCAAGTGAAAAGAGTCAAATCACAGAACAGTGTGTATGCAAAACTATATATTGTAGCAAAGAATATAAATCATTATTTTTTGGTTTTCTTTTCTGATCATTTCTTAAAATACACAGTGAGAAAGATATGAAGAAAGCAATAGATATGCATCCCAAAAAGAACTTCAAATTGTTTTCCTACTGGGAAAAGGAATATAGGGTGTCTAAGAATAGAAGAATTAATCTTTTTGAATAATTCCCTTATGAAGTTTTACATTTGAAATATAATGCCTTTATTAATAGAAGTTAAGTAGACAACATGAACTAGCTGCCATGACCATGGAATCCCACACACGCTTGTGAAACTATGTGAGCAGACATTGAAAGGTGCCCAGGCATGAGGCTGACTTGGACTCCTATCACTCTGTGGGGTCAGTGCCTCCTCCCGAGGACAGCCACACCCAGGGGGGACTGGGTCCATCGAGGAGCAGTACAGCCTGGGTGACACAGAGCCAGGGTCTCTCCAGGGAGAGTAGCAGGTGTGGGGATTTGGGGAGGAGCAAGGCAGGTCCTCCATGGCAGGACAGCCAAGCTCACACTAACTCTGACAAAGAGAGGCCATGGGGACAAGAGAGAGCAAGGCCCTGGGGGATGTCTATGTTGGGAGAGGGATTTGCCTCCTGATCCTCAAGCAAGAGAGAGACATGTGTCTCCGTGAGGCAGGACAGAGGCTGGTTCTGACTGACACTGTGGAACATCCCTTCTGGCTGAGGGGTGGAGACAGCATGGAGATTGAGAACAGGGAGAAGACCCTCCATGAGGAGGCTGTGTCTCTAAAGCACGGGTGTGTGTGGCTTGGGTGTGTGTGGGTCAGTTGTGATGCTGTCATGGAGAAGAAATGTGCAGTGCATTCAAAAACAGATCAGTGGCAAAAATGACACTGGAGAAGGACTGGCTATGAGCTGTGACTGAGAAGAAGACAAGAAAAATCACTTGAAACTGCCAGGCTTTTTGACTTACATCATGACTACAGCATAGTATTTCACCCTAAGTTTGGTAGAATATGGCTGAGTTCACTTTTCTATTAAGCATGGTCCACAATTCACACCTCACAATAATAATCACTGATATGCACTGATGTTTTATATGAAAGTCAGTTTCATACTATTTTCAAGAAACACGAGTCAAATATATTATCCAAAGTAATAATGTAAAAATATATTTAACAATTTTGCCCCCCAAGATAATATAGAGGCAATCAAAATATTTTCAAATAATTTGCTAACTTGTAAAATTTATTAAAAATTTACAAAAGTGGCTGGGGATTTAGCTCAGTGGTTTCAGCGCCTCCCTCACAAGCCCAAGGTCCTGAGTTCGATCCCCAGTACCAAAAACTTACAAAAGTATTCTCTTCATATACTGACATCCAGTTGCCATAAATATGTTTATAAATCCATTATTAAGGTCTACAAAGTAAATTGTATGCAAATGCCTTCTTTATAAATATTTCTTGTTCCTTTACATTTTAAAAATTTTTTCTAAGTATTTTTCTAATTTTGTCTTCAAATTTTAATTAAATATATTTTCATTGTCCCTGGACACTTTCCTCAGGAATTTTTTACCTTGGTTCATGTTTGCATTTTGTCCTATGCTGTTGCTCTACTTTAGGAAGATGCCCAGCATCTAGTTTTTGAAATTCCATGATAATCTGCTGTAATGCATCCCATGTAAAAAAAATGTGATGATAATTATTACCAAGTTTGTCTTTTTCCAAAGAAACAACACTTGTAGCAAATTTTGAAGGAGAGGCCTAAAGGTTGCCAAAGCAAAGCATCAGGAAAAACAGGAGTGAATGAAACAACAGACTTTCTTTTGTACATTCTTAATTTACATTTGTGGCAGGAGGCACACAGTCTTTCATTTACAAACTTCTCAGTATCCACCACCAATGGCTGAAGGTTTGCCCTGGTAAGAATCATACCAGGTAAAACTTTAGAATGAGGGAAGGTACAAAGGGAAGCAGTGTTAGACATACTTAGCCTAATAGCTGTAACCTAAGATATAATTAGATATATCCAAGGAGTTAGAATTTTGAAAAAGTTGCTACCACTAATTGAAAAGAAAATGTCTCCTGATGAGATTTCACACAGAAACTAAGCACTGATAGAGAATGTTTCATTTGTTGTGGGATAGTTTTAATATAAATTTTGCTATTCTGATAGAAAATTAAGTGTTAAAAAATCATATTATGTGTCCTACGTTTCACATTTACAAGTCAAAGTTATTTTGACAATAGTTGCTGTGGAGAAAATATTTGTCAGCTGCAGTTCTGAGAGAGGATTAATATCTAGAGTACATATAGAACTCAAAAAACTCAGTGCTGAGGAAGAAGTAACCTGACTGGTAAGTGAATAAGTTAGTTGAACAGAACCTTTCCATGACAAATACAAGTGGCCAATGTCCAACATTTTCAGAAGTTAGAAAAGTCAAACCAAAACTACATTGAAATGCCATCTCCATCCCATTAGAACAGCTGTCATCAAGAAAACAAAGTAATAAATTCTTGTGAGGACATGTGGAAAAGATAACCTTCTCCACTGTTGGTGGGAATGTAAATTAATAGAGCCATGATGGACATTAGCATGGAGCTACTTTTTGATGCAGACATGCCTTTCCTCAATAAATTTCTGAAGTGTAGATAGCAGGCTACACCGACACATGCATACATCTGCTTATTGCAGACAAGTAGTTGCTAAGCCATGGGAACACCCCAGATGCCTACCAACAGATAAAATGAATTAATAAAATGTCTGTATATATATACACAGTGGAATTTTTCAGGCATAAATAATGAAATCCTGGCATTTGCAAGAAAATGGCTGGATGGGAAGAAAACCATTATTACTGAAATAACCCAGGCAAAAATGTCAAACATCCCATAATGTCTCTCAAATATGGAATCTAAACGTGATTAGAAGAAAGTAAGTAGGAGAATGCAGGAAAGGAGGAGGAAGATGATTAGCAAAGAAGGGGATCAGAGAGAGTAGAGAAAAAGGAAGGAATAAAGGGGGGGTAAAATAATCAAAGTATATTATATTACACACAAATATAACAAAAACAAATAACCATTGCATAGGAATAAAAAATCACTAAGAAATGGTTCCTCAAATGAAAACTTGGTATTCAGAAAATATTTCATGCATTTTGGAAAGTCACATGCTGATATTGAAGAAAAAATATTACACATTGGCATGTGTAATAAAATCTTGAATTTATCTATCTTTTTTCATTAAATATATATGTATATATATATATATATATATGGTGAAGATATATAAGTTTTGTGCCTAAAATAGTGGTTTCAGGAGTGCATTTGCTGACTAAACCAGCCTGTGGTCTTGTCCTGCTGCAGATTCCCCCCCAGTAGCACTGGGGTGTATGTCATGTTCCTCACACTTCTCCAATGCTGGTGCTCCACTGAGCTAACTTTGGAGGATGCTCATGAGGAGCACTCACTTGCTCACTCTGAGATGTGGGTGGGGTTATTTCTCCAGCACCCTTGCCGGCGCTCTTTTTTCTGCACTGTGATAAAGCAATGGAAATTATAAAGCTCCTCATTCACATAAGAGAATGACATATAATAAAGGAAATGTGTTGTCCTTTCTTTTTATTCTCTCTTTCTTGAAAAGATCAAATTAGTATTTGCTTAATTAATTGTCTGTTTGGATACTTTGCCAGAATCTGTTTTATCACTCATTTTACCATGGTAAACACACCATTTTTACACCATTCATTTCTATGCTTTTATTTTCTCCATTCTTAAACCACGATATTTTGAAGCCCAGTTAATTGATTTATAGTTTATGTGACACAGGAAGAATCTGATTTTGTAATATTTTTGTAATGAAATTAACTAGCCAAAATTTTATTAACAAATCACAATCAATACTTCAGAGTAGTGTCTGGCTCATATGTGCTTGAGTTTTATGAATGAATGCATTTTTGAGGAACAAATGATTAAGCTTGGATGAGAACATGTACTAGATAGAGAAAAACTGGTCCATTTAAAAAAGTTTGATGCCCCATGCTTTCTGTTAAAGTTATGAAAATATTTAACTAAAGCATGTGAGACTGAACCAGACATTTTGCAACTCTTGAATGGCTTGTGGGCAAGAATCTAGTGTTATTATTCTTTCTATCATCATGATATTTTATTAAGACATTCATGAATAGAGTTCATATAAAATAGCACTTCAGGAAAATTCAAACCAAAATTGAAATTATGCAAATGTTATCATATTAAATGACATAAATCTTACAATGTAATTTCCATTACTGTTCTTTTAAAAGAGGATTTAGCATTCACTCTGCTTGTTTAATTTTTTGTTGGTTACTCAAATCTTCCTGATGTTTCCAGTGAAGAAAAATGCTTTTTGTGCTGGAGATTTCCTGGAAGCTTTCTTCACCTCCTGGTGTCTTAGGGTGTAGATGAGAGGGTTTACCAGAGGGGTGACCCACAGTAGAACACAGACATGACTTTACCAATGGTGAAGTTGTGCTTGGCCAGAGGGGAGACATAGGCAAAGATAATGGTGCCATAGGAGATGGTAACCACAGTGAGGTGGGAGGCACAGGTGGAGAAACTTTTCTTCTGAGCCTCTTGGGAAGCCACCTTGACTACTGTGGCCACAATATTGGCATAAGAGGAGAAAGTGAGAAGCAGAGAACAGAGAATCACAACAGAGCTACATGTGTAGGCCAGGGCCTCCACAAAAAATGTGTCTGAGCAGGAGAGTTTGAAAACAGGGTCTGAGTCACAGAAGAAATGGCTGATCTTCTGGGGGCCACAAAAGTTTAGATGAGAGACAAATATGGTACTAGCGAGAGTAGCAGAGAAACCCCCAATCCAGGAGCCAGACGAAAACTTCAGCGAGATGTGAGCATACATGAGAAATGTGTAGCACAGAGGGCTGCATATGGCCACGTACTGATCATAGGCCATCACGGCTAGCAGGATGCACTCTGTAGCTCCCATGGAGAAGAAGAAATACAGCTGAGGAATGCATGTGGAAACAGAGATGATGACAGCTTTGGAGAGGCAGGTGGTCAGCAGCTTAGGCATTGTGGCTGTCATGTACCATATCTCCAAGGACATTTTCCCTAAGAAGGTGTACATGGGTGTCTGGATGGTGGGATCCATGAGAATAATGAAGATGATGAGGGTGTTCCCCAGGAGGGAGAACAGGTACACAGTGAGGAACATGACAAAGATTGTGAGCGCAGGGAGAGAGAGCCCGAGAGCCCCAGGAAAATGAACTCTGTCACTGTGGTATGGTTTGCTCCATCCATACCTCATCTGCTCTGATCTGGGAAGATCAACAGCACCAGATGATGGTAGATGACCAAGGAGTTAAGAATGGAAAATTCATATTCACTTATTTTGTGTTGTAATGGTCTCTAATAACAGCAACTAATGCTGTCAAAAATGTGATCCACAAATGTCTGAACACTTTCAAAGATTTGTCTCATTTGATTTTGAAGATAATTTTTCAGTGTGAATATTCTAATAATGTCCAAGTTTACAAATAAAGGACCTCCAGTGAGTAGTGATTAAGTTCTGATGCTATCCTTTGGATTCCAGGAATGGTGTTGTCAGAGACCAAGCTGAGGCCTACTCCATGGCTGTGAGAGAGCTGAGATTGCTCTCTCCAGAAGGATGTCACATCACAAAGTCCAGAGGGTGATGGGGAAACCAGAGAGGATGCTGGCAGGGTAAGTGTATGGGTACAGGTTATCATGACAGTGAAAGTGCTTCCCGCAGTTCTAACTCCACATCCGTCATGGACACCATGAGGGGAGGTGCAGGGGTTTGGTGTGAGCAGGTCCTACATGGAGGATGAGGAGCAGAAGGCAGAAAGCACTGCCTATGCAGATGCAATGCACTTAAGTAAACGTCACCATCTCTGGTCAGCCTTACAAATCATCTTACCCTGTTTTCCCACTCTGATTAGGAACTGTTTGAGAAGTATTTGTTAAAAGAAGTCAGAACTCTTGCGTTCAGAAAAAGACAGTCCTAGTCAGTGTTGTCATATATTTAGTATCAACCTACCTGAAGATGTATAAAATATAATCAACCATGGTAGGCATAAGAAAACTGCACTTGCATATGATAAATACATTTTTAAATGATGTAATGCATATGTTGTAAAGACAATGACTTAATATCTTTGTATCAAAGGAGAATTTTGAACATAATGTGAAGCCACTTGAATTCCACTCTCTATATTTCCTCCTTTACATCTTTATTTGGCTATGCCATGTGTAGGGCCCAAACAATCATAATGGATGAAGACATTATATGTCATGAACATAACCTAAGAATAATAACAACTATAATAATGAAAACATGGAAAAGGAAGTTTAGAGGGAGAGGAATTGAGGTGGGTGGTTGGGGTGGGGATTAAAAAAGTGAACAAGCTGTGTTATGTACGTGTTCCCACTCAGAAAGACTAATGTAAACTTCATGTACTGCAAACATGCACTGATAAAATTTTAAAAAGCTATTCACAAAATTTAAAAATGAAATCAAAATGTATCAAATACCTATATGTATATAAACAGAAACATTTTTAATCTACTGGTAAGAAATTGGTAAAAGTCTTGAAGACATAGCCATAAGCAAAGACATCCTGAACAGAATCCTCATTGAATAAGAAAAGCGACAAATGAGACTATATCCAATTTAAAAATAACTTTTTCACAGCAAAGGAAACAAGCCACAGTGTGAGTGAAGAGATAATCTATAGAGTCAAAAAATTCTTACAAACCATTCTCAGAAGTATAGTATCAATTCCACACAAGGAATACAAACATTATGTACTGCAAACACATGCAAAATGTAGAAATCAAGGGATAGGTGAGGGGGGGGGAGAGAAGGGAAAGGAATTAAAATGAGTTAGGTAAATGTTCTAACTTCCCAAAAGGAATGTAAAAATTGTGTACTACACATGTGTTCTAATGAATGAAAATAAAAAAGGGAAAACAGAAATTTGAAATGAAAATTTAGATATCCAAAAGTAAAATAACCAATTACAAATGAACAATTGAAATATATAGACTTTAAAGATGAAGAGATAAAGAGCTGATATGCATGAAAAAAATGTCCAGCATCTTTGGCCATTAAAGAAATGAAAATCAAACAACACTGAGATTCCACTTCACTCCTGTAAGAATGACTACTAATAAGGGCTGAAAACCCAACAATGCTGAGGAGACTGTGGAAAAAATGAACCCTTATATATTGTTGGTGGGAATGTAAACCCATTACATCCACTATGGAATCAATATAGGGATTTCTCAAAAAGCTCAAAATAGAAATTCCATTTGATCCAGCTCTTCCTCTCCTGGGTAATTTTCCTGAAAGTGATAAAGACATCATATGACAGTGATCCATGCACACTCATGCTTATAGCACAACTCTCAATAGGTAACTCATGGAAGCACCCGTATTGAAAGAGTTTACTCTTCTGACAACCACAGGATTCTGTGTCACATTATGTCTACTTGCACATTTCTAGCACACTTTTTTTCTAGGTTCTTTTTTTTTTTCAGTACCAGGTATCAGACACAGTACCTTGAACTTGCCAGACAGGTGCAGGGCTTCTGAGCTACATCTCTGGCCCAGAACACTTGTTTTTAAAGAGGAAAATAAGGCAGCATTAGAAATGGTGGCAATTTAGATGTTCACCTATGGAACAGGTTACATGAGTGGTGACACTGGCTTAATAAAATAATTTTGTATAGAATTTGTTGAGCTGTTCATGAAAACAGTCTGGACAGACATAGGAGAAAATGTTCCCTTGTTTTTGTTTCAACACAAAAGTTTATTGAGGTATGCTTAAGATGCTATTTCAAATTTTAAAGTGACAGTTCAATGAATTTTGGTACATTTAGAGAGCTCTTCACCACACTGTGTAAATGTAGAATTTTGTCATGACTTACTAAATGACTCCTTAACCCATTAGGGGCCACTTCTCATTTTCTTGTCATCCCAGCCCTTGACTGCTGCCTCCACTTCCTGTGCTCATGCACTGGACAGCAATGAATATTTCATATGAACCGAACCATACTGTACTCGACTTTCGTGTCTCGCTTTTGTTCACCAAGTATAATGTTTTAAGGTTCAACTAGGTTGTAGCCTTGTCACAACATATAGATATACCTTGGAGGAGAGAGATTAGGGCTCCTAGATTTTGTTTTTCATTTCAAAATTTCTGTGTTGTTTGCTGCCCTTAGCGTTTGCTTTTTCTTAAAAAAATCACCTTGCCTTATTTAACAAGATGATATTGGTATGGGGCCAGTTGCTGCTTTCTTTTTGTATCATGCCTTTTTTAAACCTTACAAATACCACAAGAAATGCAAAGGATAAGGAGAACAACAAAATCTCACACACCATTTCTGGATACAAAGGAAACTTGCCTAACTAAAACAATATTAAATGTTGTCCAAAAATGGATAAAAAATTAAAGCACGTAAATTGGTTCGTTTCAGAGATGAAATGCCAGTGATGGGAAATCTATTAATATATTTCTCCACACACTCAATTAAATACAATTACATCCTCAGCAAATCCAGTACTAATTCTTAATGAAATCTATTAATAACATATTAGGAAATTTATTTTTAAAACATGCAACCCATGTGTGACATGCATTTTTCCAAATAAACAGAAGAAATTTAGGGTGTTATCCAATCATGTTCTGTGTTTACCAGTAAAATATAATATATGTGAATAAAAAAGCTTTAAAAATGAAAGAAAGGAAAAACCTTCTAAGATGAACAGAAACTAAAATAACATTGTAATAGGATAATTCAATCACTGTCTGTCAGTATATCCTTGTTATTAAGCCAACTGTAGGGTCTGTGTGCATATGTGACTGCATAGCACTGAATGGAAAAGAAAGTTCACAACAGATTACTGCATTACTAGTTAATGCCATAGAAATAGAGGAGATAAGAATTTCCCAATGATGCTCTGAGCAAAAAGGTAGAAACTAAAAGTTCTCCACAGTGGAGGAAAAACAACAGGATGAGGTTTAAAAAAATACTTAGAAAGCTGAGTCTAATGTTTTTTTGAGAGCATGTCAGAAAGAAAGAAAAGTTTCTATACAAAATCTCAAAGCCAGCAGTCATAAAGAAAATATTTGGCAAGTTGACTAGCTTAAATAAAATATCATGGGAAAATGGAATCACAAAATATAAAAATAAAAACAAAATCTGTTTCTATAAGTACTTTGATAGTAAAGAAGCATAATGTTTTCGTTTTCTGTTTCCTAATACACAGAAAGTCTAAATAAAGCAATGCAAATCAATAAATAGTAGTTTAAAGTTAATCTATATCTCATTAAAAACTTAACAAAAATCATTCACACAGTTCTTTTTTATTAATTTTATTGGTACTTTTTAGGTATACAATATAATGGCATCCATCATTGGAAATCTGTACCTTTACATAATCTATTTTTTCTTGGTTTTTTTCCCCATTCCCCTGCCCTCCCTTCAAACCCTCCACCTCTCCCTATTTACAAAGACTTTGTTTCCATTTTTTTCCTTTTCTCATATTAACTCCATTCCCTTCTTTCATTTTGCCAACCTTCCCCACTTCCCCTTCCCATTTGCCCCTTTTCTTCATATTTCACATTATCTGTTATACATTGTGACCCTTATTTATAATTTCAGTTTCTCACACCAGTGAAACCGTGCAATATTTACACATGTGTGTCCTATTTATTTCACTTAAGAGCATGGCCTCAATGTGCATCTATTTAGCTATAAATGTCTCTAGTTTCTCATTCTTCAAAGTAAAGAGACATTTCAATTTTCTTACTCCAGTGCTGATCAGTGGTGACCCAGGCCAAAGCTGGAATGATTTCTTCTGAGAACTCCTAGCTGCTCTAGGTAATGAGGTGTCTCCTGAGAAGTACCTTTCTTCCTAAGGACAATATGTGGTTAATTTGGTTTTATTCCCAGGGTGTCTGCTGCCAAATCTCAGCAGAATCACTTAAACCCCAGGAAGCCCAGGTAGCTTGTCCATGGCGCTCAGTGTCCTGCTGCCGACAGCAGAGCACATTCCTGCTCCCCAGCTGAACAACTCCAAGGGAGTTTCAAACTCCTTCCTCAAACTGTGTTTCCTTCTGCTTCCCTCTGTACATCCTCTCTGCCAGCCTTACTTCTGTAAGTGTCCTTTTCAGTCTTGTCTTTATA